CTAATAAGCTGCTATTTATTCAGCACTCTCTAGTTTAAATATTCACGTAAATGTGGGGCAGGCATTTTTATTATGCCTCTAAGAATGAAGAAACTCTAGCTCAAAGAAATTAACCGATTTGACCTAGGCTACCGAGGAAGGAAGCTATTATTTCTTTAAATAAACTCTCTGCTCCCTTTTACCACTCTTGTCCTTCTGGGATATCCATTAACCTAATGTTGCTCTTCCTAATGGAGTCAAATAGTTCTCAGAGAATCTATTCATTATTTTAAGATCTTAATTCTCTCTTCCCTTCTATCTGTATCATTTCTAGATTTCTATCTTCAAGCTCTCTAACTCTCTCTTCCACATTATCTGCTCTATTTTCAGTACTTTCTAATGTGTTCTTCATCTCATCTGTTGAGTTCTTCAGGTCAAGAATTTCTGCTTGGTTCTTTTCTAGAGTTTTAATCTCTTTGGTAAAATTTTCCTTCTGTTCATCAGTTTTATTCCTGAGCTTGTTGAATTGTCTTTCTATATTTTCTTGCAGTTCATTGAGTTTCCTCATAACAGCTATTGTGAATTCTCAATTATATCGCACTATTTCATGACTTTGAGCTTGGTTTCTGGAGAACTGTCATTTTCTCTTTGTGATACAGTGTTAACATGGTTCTTCATGGAGCTTGATGAGTTGTTTGTCAGCACATCTGAAGTAGCAAACACCTTTCTCCTTTAGGTAAAGCTTTTTATTTTTTCACTTGATTCCAAGAATTCAACACATTAGTAATTAGAGGCTCTCTTTTGTTTTCCAGTAAGTGGTGCTATAGCACTAGTTTCTGGTCTCTTACCTGCTCTGCCTCTGCTGTATTTGAGAATCAGCACTTTTTAACCCTCCACACCTTTGTCAGAAGTGTCGCCCATTGCTCTGGTTGTTGCTGCTTGTGCCTTCAGGATCATTGGAGCCTTGGTGCTACTGGCATCACTACCTGGGACACTGGGATGGTGGGCACCTCCACATGTCCAGGGTCGCCTAGGTCTCAGGCTCCACCCCGGAAGGTTGGGAGGGAGCGAGGGTTGCAGGTGCCTCTGCCACATCCAGGGTTATCAGGTTCACAGGCACTGCCACTGTGGGTAAGGGGGAGGCAGGGAAGGGCCATAGTCATAGGCACCTCCATGATTGGACGGACAGGATCACTGGCCCACTGCGACTGCTACTTGGACCCCTGTGGTTGAGGGAACCACTTTGACTGGGAGGCCAGAGTCTTATGTTCTGCCTCCCCTGATGCTACCAGGTTCTCAAAGGTTACTGTGGCTGGGGATCCAGGATCACAGGCACCACCTGTGCTGTTCCTCTGGTTCTACCTCCTCCGTGTGTTCCAGCCCACCCACCTTTAGATGTCCAGATGTGCAGAGCTCTCTGGCACCCCACTGTGCTGGGCAGAGACTTGTTTGTTGAGTTACGGATGCTTTTACTGGTTGGAGGTTGAAGGGGAAAGTCAAAGAGAGAGTCACATACCACCATGATGCTGACATCTCTCTTAACCACTATCTTATACCTTCTCTTCAGGAGGATATAAATATGCAAAACATGAGAGCTGAGGAGTTTCAGTCATCCTCACCCACCTGGTTCAGGTCCACAGAACCTTCAGCAAGAAGGTGAGACACTACTGCTTGTCTGTTACGTGAGTGCTACTTTCTGAACGGCCAAACTTATTTCACGCTTCATTAATTCCTCTCTCCCTATGACTACAGTCCTGGCAATACAACGCAGCTGAGAGTGAAACCAGTGGGAAGTGATGCTGTGTAACTACCGTGTGAAGGACAAAGGGCTAGGGGCTGAAGCTGGCAGAGCTGTGGAAGCAATGTGAGCCATGTATTGTCGTTTGCCATTCCCTCTTCCTGGAAAAGGAAGAATTATAAATGGCTTCAGATAGGCCAGCCTTACGCTCCAACCGTATTGAAATGCCCATGACCAGGGATCCTGTACTCAAGTCAGTAGACCACAATATGTAAATACTGCAGACTTCCAGAAACTTGACTAAATAAGATACACACCGATCAGTCAATCAGTTTAAAACCTAAAAGGACACATTTAAGGACAACCAAGTGGATTATGGAAAGTATATACGAATTAAGAAAAACTAAGATTAATAGAACTTGCTGTCTTAAAATACAGGTAAACAAAATACACAGATGCACACACACACACACACACACACACACACACACACACACACACACACACACATATTGATACAGTCAGTAACAGTTGAATGAAACTCCAAATAACTCTAAATAACTTAGGAAGGTATAGAATATGGGTTAATTAGAAACTAAGCTATTGACTACTTACTATTTTAAGTGTTGTAGGTGAATTGACTCAGTCTTCACAACAGCTCCATTAGAGGCATATTGTTGTCCCCATTTTACAGATGAGGAATGACCAGCATCTTACATAAACTATACATGATCACACAGCTAGTAAGCGGGAGCTTTAATGAAGCCCATGCGGCCCAGATGCATAGCATGGACTCTTAACCACTGCACCATACTGCCCACAAAACAGAGTTAATGGTAGATTGAGATGGAGAGAAATTTTTTAAAGAGTAGGATGGGTTAAGAAAAGACTATAAAGAATCTAAATTATAAACAAGTTTCAAAATCAATATTAGAAACAGCAAACATTAGGTCTAACACAGCAGGAAAATGGATTTAGCAATTTAGAAGACACTTAAAAGAAATTTCCTGAATGGAGGGATACAGAACAAAGACTTATGTGATGAGGGATAGATGCTTATTTAGAGGGCATGAAATTGAGAGTCATCATAAAGAGTATTTCTCTTTCTAAAGAAAAGAAAATGAGAAGTGGAACAAATCAATAAAGATATAAAAGAGAAAACAATTCTGCTCTAAAGAGAGACCTGAGTCTGCAGAAGGAAAAATGACTCTATGTATCGGACAAATGGAATGAAAAAAAGCAACTCACATTCTGGTGACATTGTTTTGGTTTTTAAATTTTAAATGAAGAAAAATTCTAAGAGAAAATCATTCAGAGTGTCCTTGCATATTTCAAGTAATCTTGGAGGGAAAATTTTGCTTAAGGCCATTAATAAGCCAGTAACACATAAGATAAATTTTATGCAAATATGATTTTAAAATAATGCAAATATAAACACTAAATTCTCTCTCAATGAAATCTTTAAAGATTTATTCAAAGTGAACCACAGATGAGTTGAAACAATAAACTCAAAACTTCAGCCTCTCTGGCCCCTCGGGCTGACTCTGAGACTGTTCCTAGAATCACCTTTGCCTGAATCACTTTCTCCACTCCCTCCACTCTCACTTTTACTAAGTCAGCTAATTCTCAGGTTCCAGGCTGAATGTCACATTTTCTCAAAAGCTGTTCCTGCCACCCCAGCCCCATCATAGTCCTTGTCACGTTTAAGTGTTTGTCCCATCCACTGTGCTTAAGTTGAAAGAGAAACTGGCGTCTATCTCCCCACCAACTCACCCCCATTGCCTCACACAGTGCCTGCAATGTTCTTGATGTTTCATCAGGATTTGTTAACTGAGCGAAGGAATGAGTAAGTGAGTGAATGAGATACGCATACTACTTATATTGAAGTAAATCCGCATATCCCCCCTCGATGCAGAATCGTCATTTCTAGGTGTCTATCCCAAAAGATGTCAGTAGAAAAAGAAGTCAAGATTTATGTATAAGAAAGTCCCCTGTTTTAAAATGTCTTTAAAGCTATCTGTTTACACTCACAGTTTTCATCTATGCCTGTGGATACATGATGGGGAGGGTT